TATCTATCCTAGTTTGCTTTCCACTTCTGTGACTTAAAAAAAAAAATGTCCAGAAACAACTTGTGGGGTGGAGGACAGCATACAACGTGCCAAGAACCTTCAGGGGAAGTCAGGGCGACAAATGAAGGCAGGACCCTGGGGGGCAGGAACTGACACAGAGACCACGGAGAAGACGGGCTTCTGACTTGCTTACTGACTTGCTTTCTAAGCTAGTCCAGGACCACTTCCTGAAGGTGCCCACAGGGGGCTGAACCCCCCCACATCATTCATTAACCTAAAACATGCCCCCACAGACTTGCCTGCGGGCCAAATGAGGCATTTTCTCAGCTGAGGCTCTCTCTTCCCAGATGATCCAGTCCGTGTCAAGCTGACAAAAAACTAGCCAGCACACTACCTAAACCAAAGTAATGTCTTCCTCCTCTACACTGAGTCACCCGGTCTCCTCCAGAGTGCCTATCATTTTAAATTATGCGACCTATTCATTCATTACTACCCAGCATCACAACCGTGATTTCCATAATGGAAAGAATTTCACGTTGATTAGTGCTTGCATTAGAACACGGGCTGGATTGTGGCAGGTGCTCATTAAATAGAGCGATTAAATTAACCGATGTACTGTGGTATTAACATATCCCTATCGGCTATATGTAAATCAAAGTCCTACCCTGAATAAAGAGAACTCACTGACACCTTCAGTAGTGCTTTTAAACTTTATATATATATTATTCCCAGGGAAAACAGTTCCTGCAGAGACTGATTTGAGCACATATATAAAGTCAGAATTTTCAACAAGTTCTATAATAAAAATGGTCAAAATGTTCTGTGAAACGCAAGGTTTGAAATATTTTTTTAAACAGACTCCTAAGCAAAAATCACAATCAGCAATGACCATGGCTGCAAGTTCAGAACGAGGTCTTATTGTCTGTTTCCTACTTGATTTGGTGTTTCGGGAATGAAAAGTTTTTTGTGGTGGCAAGAGCAATACAAATAAGTTGTTAAATTAGAGTAGGAAATCATAACGACTCCAAATAGCCTCAACAAACATTATTTGGTATAGCGTTTTGTTTTGTTTCTGTCCAAGCAAATAAACATAGTGTGTACAAATGTACAAAGTCTCTCTGTGGATAGGATCAAGAATCTGATTTCAGGCCTGGCAGTGGTGGCGCACACCTTTAATCCCAGCACTCAGGAGGCAGAGGCAGGTGGATCTCTGTGAGTTCCAGGCCAGCCTGGTCTACAGAGCGAGTTCCAGGACAGTCAAGGATACCCAGAGAAATCCAGTCTCGGAAGGAAGAAAAAAGGAAATCTGATTTCTGCCAATCACATTAAGGAATAAAATTAATCAAAGTTCATATTCTGAGTGTTATTTTAGCACACCCAAGGAACAAAGAAACCTGATAAATGCTTTAAAAATTGTTAGGAGTAGCCAGGCATGGCGGCTCACACCCACCACTTGGGAGTCAGAGGCAAACTGGATTTGTGTGAGTTCGAGGCCAGGCTGGTCTACAAGGCCAGTTCCAGAAGAACCTGAGCTACAGAAAAAGAAAAAAAAGACCAGCCTGTCTCAAAAAGTGAACAAACAAATGACTACAAGTATATAAGCATAGCTCTGGCCTGAATTCCAGGGTGTCTTAGACCACAAACTGAGCTTTTAAGGTTTAGGGAAAATCTCGATCATCCAAACATTAGACAAGACACGAACTTGAAAGAAACTCGTCTGCCTTCCTACAACAGTCACCTGGGGAGAGGGTGGGGTTAAGAGATTAACAGAGCAGATCCTAAAACTAACAACCAGGGCATCTGCTCAGCAGTCCGTCACCGAGCGTTGCCAAGTTCAAACAGAGAGATGCTAAAGAAATGGCAGCTGTGGACGGAGATCAAAGCACCTCGGTTAGCAGTCGAGGCCAGCTGCCACTCCACGTACCCGCGGCTAGTTACCGAGGGATCCCGGGTGGGCGGACTTGCTCGGGGCTCCCGGCCAGCGGCCGCAGCACAGACTGAGCCGGGTCCTCCGCCGCCCGGGCCCTGACCGCTGCACTCCCTCCCGCCAGAGCAACCAGGCAAAGCGTTTGACTCACAGCCTCACCTGCAATTTCTGCAAGACGTGCTTCGCTTCTTCCTCTTCATCAGCCATCATCCCAGCCACTGCCGGCTTCTCCTCCCCCAACTTTGTAACCACAGAGACTCAGCCAGTCTCACGATGAAACCACAGCGACACCTAGGGCTCTGGAGGCCCGCCTGCCCCTGGGAGACTCGGCTACAAACCGACTTGATCCAACGCCGCTTTGGGTTTTTTGTTTGGCTTCATTGTTTTTAGATCAGACTGACCTCACTGTGCTTACGCAGTCCAGGCTGGTTTGGACAGCCCGATCCTTTTGCTCCAGCCTCCCAGCTGGGATAACAAGCACATACGGAGTTTGTGATTACTTTCAGGTTCATAAACTTCCTTCCCAAATTCCGGAATCAAAATGTTCTTATATTAATTACATTCAAAATTTTATTTCGTATATTCTTGTCCTTGCCTATATCACTCTTAAAAGGCAAGACCGGTTACCAATGTATATGTGTTGGATGGTATTTGGAAGGGAAAAATACTGCAAGGCTAACTTGTCCGAGTATTTTCCAACTTTGAAGATTTCTACACGTGTAATTTTGTTTTGTTTTGTTTTTGTTTTGTTTTTGTTTTTCGAGATGGTTTCTCTGTGGCTTTGGAGGCTGTCCTGGAACTAGCTCTTGTAGACCAGGATGGTCTCGAACTCACAGAGATCCGCCTGCCTCTGCCTCCCGTGTGCTGGGATTAAAAGCGTGCGCCACACACGTGTAATTTTTAGCATTTTTTGATGCATTATCCTAATGTTTGGGTTGGCCTGCCACCATACTGTACATTAATAATGTTCTCATATTCATTATTTCCAAAAGGAAACATAAGAAGTCTGGAGATACAGGAGAGACTGAAAACTCTGGGTGACCTGAGAAAACTTTTTTCACTGTATTTTCCTTTTTTTTTTTTTTTTACCTTGAACATGAATTGCTTATTCAAAAATAAACACTTTGGGTCTTCTGCTTGCTTTGAGGCAGGGTCTCATTTATCTCGAGCTGGCCTGGAACTTTCTATGTAGCCAAAAATGACTTTGAATTCCCGCCTCCACTGGGATTATAGACATTCATAATTACACCTGACGTTTATTTTAGTTTTTAAGGTGGGGTCTCCCTATGTAGGCCCAACTGCTCTGAACTCTATATGTAGACCAGGGTGGCCTCAAACCCACAGAGATCCTCCTGTCTCTGCCTTCTGGGATTATACACATGTATCACCATATCCAACTACAATTTTAAAAAAAAGTTAGATCATTTGCTAAAGGGATATTAGACACTTCCAACAGTAATTGCTTCCTAAAAGACTGAGCAGCAGAAACAAAGAAGAGATAATTTCTCTGTGTTTTTTTTCATACCTTTAAAAAAAGAAGTCCCCCCCCTCCAAAAAAAAAGCCCACTAAGGGACTAGAGAGTTGGTTCCATGGTTAAGAGCACTGGCTGTTCTTCTAAAGGCCCTGGTTCAATTCCCAGCATTCAAATGGCCCCTCACAACTGTCTGTAACTCCAGATCTAAGGTGTCTGACACTGTCACATAGACATACATGCAGGCAGAACACCAATGCACACAAAAGAAGAAGATATAAATCATAAAAATGAAAAGCCTAGACAGGCATTGGTGGTGCACGCCTTTAATCCCAGCACTCAGGAGGCAGAGGCAGGGGGATCTCTGTGAGTTCGAGGCCAGCCTGGTCTACAGAGTGAGTTCCAGACAACCTTCAAAACAGTACAGAGAAACCCTGTATCTTGAAAAAAAAAAAAAGCCTGCCATGAAAATTAAACTCCTTAATAGTTTTTAAAGAAACATAATATTCCTGACAGTTTATATTTTTAGTTTCAATTATACCCTGCTTATATTAAACTGCTCAAGATATCTATTTCTTCATACCCTTTTCCAACAAAACTGAAAACCTCCTAAGAAAAAAATTCATATTTTATACTATAATCTGTAAAATGTATTTCATTCTAATGAAGCCTGCAATCTCAGCACTTGGGAGGTGAAAGCTATCATGAAACTGTTTAAAAAGAGCCAAAGACAGTAAACTCAGTTGTGTAAAGCAACAGTATTTACTCTTCCTACAGTGACTAGACATGAAAATTCCTCAAGCAACTTCAATGTGACTCGTATTACCTCAACAGCAATCTGATTTGGCATTTGGGATAATTGTGTAATTCATCCCAGGAAAAGTGTTTTAAATTATGCTAATTACTGTAACTCTTAAGGTCAGTAGCACTGGCATGGGAACAGCTTCAGTGAATGCTGTTTCAAGTTTGCCTTCACAGATCAAACTTTCACCCAATGTGTAATCAAGTTCATAGCATGCTCTGAGGTCATTCATAACATGAGCCGCTCTACTTAACACGTTATGCTCAACCTGTTCAGAAGTAACTGAGCTAGGAAAACACTGTAGCAATCTTACTGTCCTTTGGACTTCAAGTGTAGCTCCAACCTCAGCTGACTTCTCAGCTTTGATGATGTTTTTAGTCAGCAGGGCCAGAAAAACAAATTTCTCCCTCAGCAGATTCACATAAAATATTAAGACAAAAGCTCTTGACTCCTTTTTGTTTTTTGTGTTTTCAAGACAGGGTTTCTCTATGTATTTCTGGCTGGCCCATAACTTGCCCTGTAGAGCAGACTGGAGTAGAACTCAGAGATATTTGTCTCTGCCCCCCCAAATTCTGGGATTAAAGGTGTGCAACACCACAGCCCACTCCTCATTCTTGTTATTACCACATTAGCCGTGCGATTCAACAAAGATGACCTTTGTTCAGCATTTAAAATTAGATGGTCAGAGCGGCAGAGACCCAAAATGTTTGAGTTCTTGTGCACATGCCCAAACACACACATAATTAAAAATAAATATAAATCTCACAAAACATGAATACCAAAATAAACACATCAGCAGTTGTTAGAAAGGTAAAGAAGCAGTTTTATTTTAAAACAAATACCAATTAAGTCAGCAAATAACTTCATCAGTGCCAATTCCTTGTAAATAGAAACTGAACACATGTATCAGATTACACTTCCATTCACTAGCACAAGCACTCCTCCAAAACAAGCTAATACAAGTAAAACACACGACTGTGTACAATACATGCAAACAGCAAGCCACCATTTTTCAAGACTATCCCTTTTTGGCCACCACTTTCCAAGATCATAATTTTTACATAAATATACTGGCAAGTAGAGAAAATCAATGCACACACTTAGCATACACATACTAGAATCAAAAGCTCCATGTAAATAAAACACTGGTGCTTACAGAAGCATAAATGCAGCTTGGCCCGAAACAGGGACAATGCAACATTGTTGTGACTGTCTGAGCAGTGATGAATGTAGAGACAGAGTCACCAAATGCTCTAAGCAAAAAATGAAGGAAGACACCGAACAGGAATCCACACACCGTACGTACTGCAAGCCAGCTTCTTCTAAGGTGACAAAGTGAAGAGAACTCAGGAATGCCAATTATTTCATCTAGAGTAAAACTACGAAAACAGAGACAGGCTAGAAATGTGAAACCAGCTAAATTCTTTTTGCTTTAAAGGCCCTGCTGCAGACTTGCTGCTCTGCTTCATGGCTTTGAGAAGCAAAACTAAAGAAGTTGTTAATGGGTTCAGGCGCTGTGGGGGAATCCACAAAAAACGGTCTGAACTGAACATCTTCCTCTCCACCTCCTCGGCTTCCCATTGGCGTGTGATCCAAAGGAAACTTTGAGCTGTTCCCTGGGGAGAAAATCAGGGAACAGTGTAAGAATGTCTCCTAACAGGTCTTTAGAACAAACTAATAGTCATTGAATAATATTTTAACAAAATTCAACTATGAGGTGGATAAAATAATTATCTTAAATTCATCTCCCATGATAGGATAAATACAGACCTAACCCAAGACCAAAGACTATGTCACTCAGCTCCTCCCCTACCTCAGAACATACTACCCCTTCTGTGAGAAATCAAACAGATCGAATGAACATCTATGTCTACTAGACCCCTCCCTGGCTTTAATAAAGGTCATTCAAAAGGAAAAAGCTGATTATATCTGCCTAAAAATAACAGAGGTCAACATCTAAGCACACGGCTGGAGAGAAGCTCAGTGGTTAAGAGCAGACCCAGGTCTGGTTCCCAGCACTCACATCATGGGTCAAAACAATGCAGTTCCGTGGGATCAACAGCCTCTTGTGGCCTCCATGGGCAGTACACAAGTGGTACACATACATAACAAACACACAGGCAACACATACACATCAAAAAATCTTTCTATAATGTACAAAAAGAATTTAAAAAACATGTACAAGAACAAGAAAAATATGTACAACAGTCATCTGGAATGACTAAATTATTGTGGAATATTTGCCAAGGCACCTTCTAACTGACTTAATAAAGAGCTGAATGGCCAATAGGTGGGCAGGAAGAGGTTAGGCGGGACTTCTGGACAGAGAGAAAGGAGGAGGAGATGAATCTAGACACCAGAAGAAACAGAAGTACAAGATGGAAGAGAAGTAAAAAGCCACACAGGCAAAGCATAGATTACTATAACTGGGTTAATTTAACTTATGAAAGCTAGTGGGACAAGCCTAAGGTATTAGCCAAGCTTTCATAATCAACAATAAGCATCATGTCATTATTTGAGAGCCGGAGATACAGAGAAAGACTCGCTACACTAGACTAAATTGACATTTATAAGTATGAAGCAGGTAGAAAACTTCATTTTTAGACTGAATCTCACTCTAATACTGAAACTAGTTTGTAGACCAATTGGTCTCAAACTCACAGTAATTCACCTGCCTCAGTCTCCTGAGTACTGGGATTAAAGGCATACACCACCATGCCAGGCAGGAACCTTCCTTTCTTATTTGTCTTTTTTTCCAGACAGGATCTCACTATGTAGCTTTGGCTGTCCTAGAGCTCAGAGATCCATCTGCCTCTGCCTCTCATGCTTGCACCACCAGACCAACCCACATAACATTTTGTTTGTGTGCTCTTATCACCTCATTCACATTCTAGAACATCATTTCCTCTCACTGAACCTTTTTCCTTAGCCTATAATAAATGCCAAAATTTGAGTACTTGGAAAAGTCTACCATAAGAGACTTCAGTATTTGTATGCCGATTTATACAATTATATTAATACTGAGGGGAAACTACTAGACTCTGTTGCACTGGTGTCATCAAGGGAAGAACTGGGAATAAGTTGCCCACCTATCAAAATGATCCTGAGTCAGCCTAAGATTTTGAATTACCTATTGGACAATAACTACATCCTCACTACTTAGAACCATGCCCAAGAGCCAGGCACATTAAAATATATTTGGCAATTATGTGATGACTGAGTAAACAATTAAATGATCAAAGGGCAGAAACAAGAATTGCACAATCTGGGCCAGCAAAGTGGCTCAGTGAGTAGGTGTGCTGGCTACTTACCCTGACAAACTGAGTTCAATCCCCAGGACCCACATGTTCAAGGAGATTAAAGCAAGTTGTCCTCTGACCTATCCATGTGAGTTGTGACATGCATATAATGCCCAACACACACACACACACACACACACACACACACACACACACACACACATACACCAAGTAAATAAATATAACGAAAGACAAATACATCTTGGCACATGAAAGAAAATAAAATGGCCTTGTTGGCAAATGCAGGAGAGCCTGGATAAAGGATGGACTGTGCAATTCAAATTACATGAAAATAAACATGAAACAGCAGTGCTTAACACTCAGTAATGAAAAAGTTATAGCTCATATTAATTACTACCAGTAAACAGCTAACAGAGTACAACTTGAACATTTGTTTTGAAGAGATTAATTCTGCTCAAACTGAAAATAATTTAAACTAGGCATGGTGGCACACCATGGAAATCCCAGGATTTGGAGAGGCGGAGGCAGGCAGATATGTGAGTTTGAGGACAGTCTGGTCTACACAGTGAATTCCAGAACAGCCAGGATTATGTAGAGACCCTGTCTCAAAAAAATAAAAAAAGCAAAAAAAAGGTAAAGATAATTTAAATGTATGCAAATACAAGTGAGAGTAATGGTGTACAGAGTAAGACAAAGACTCCACAGCTTCCTGTGGCTCACCACTCTCGGAGTCTCCTGAATGTGCAGAACTATGCAGCACAGTGTGAAAAACCTTAATTTAAAAACTAGGTATTAGGCCAAGGGCTGGTGGCGCACGCCTTTAATCCCAGCGCTCAGGAGGCAGAGGCAGGCGGATCTCTGTGAGTTCGAGACCAGCCTGCTCTACAAGAGCTAGTTCCAGGACAGCCTCCAAAGCCACAGAGAAATCCCATCTCAAAAAATACCAAAAAACCAAAAAACATAACACCAGGTATTGGGTAACGGATTACTTCTTACCTAACGGAAAGCCAAAGACACCAGACTGTGTGATGGTAGCTTGCTCCAGGGAACCTTCTTGGCTAGCAATACTGATATTCCGTAGCCTAAGGCTATCATAAAGGCCTTGAAGCTTTTGATACTGGCGATTACGCTCCATAAGTTTTTCAGAAATATCACTAAACTTTTTCTTGTATTCTTCTAGAACTTTCTTCATAGAAGTGACCTCTCCTTTCATAGAGGTCAATTCCACATCCTTGCTCTGTATTTGCTGTGTATATATCTTTTCCATCTGTTTCAGATGGCTCTCCGCTTTGCTAAAGTTATATTCTTGGTAGAGACGTTCCTGGTGTACCTGTTCAAACAAATGAGAAGCAGCACAGTATTACAGACTGCAAAAGCTCATCCAAACTCAACGGGAAAGGATGCTTACACAGGGATAGCATTACTATAATATTTAAAGCCAGGTTTAAAACATAATCACGCCAGGCAGTGGTGGTGCATCTCTTAAAGGCCAGCACTTGGAAGGGGGGGGGCAGGCAATCTTTTTGAGTTCGAGGCCAGCCTGGTCTACAGAGTGAGCTCCAGAGAAACAGAGCTACAGAGTACACAGAGAAACACTGTCTCAACAAACAACAACAACAAACAAACAAACAAACAAAGTCACAACATATGATTCAGTGATTACAAAAAATGGGATGCTCAGAGAACCATGCCATATGCCTTATCTGCAAGTAATATATATCCTGAAAGTTTTTAAGAAATTCAACCGAAGTTGTGTGTGAAGAGCTATGCATGTAGTAGTCACAGACACAGGGAATGCGGGCAGGAGGATCAGGGACTCAAGGTAAGCCACCACAGCTATGGCCAATTCAAAGCCACCTGGGCTACATGAGACATAACCAAGGAAAAAAATACATGTTTGCACGACACATGCACATATATCAAGTCCAATTTTCCAGATGATCCAGAGTTGGAAAAATAAGACCCCCCAAATGTCCTTGATTCCTAGAATTTACATTTGTGTAACTCCTTGTTGGGCAGAACCTGTAACTAGAACATCAGGATGTCATTTGTCTGATACAGAAGACTTTTACAAAGTCTATTTTTCTTAGAGATGGATACCCTTCCTTGCTGACTGGAAAAAGCAGCCATGATGGAAAAATCTAGGATGGCAGCAACTGCAAAATACTGAGGCCCCACAGGATTATCTCAGAATGGATCAGACCTGAATACAAACTGAAAATCAACTCATAGATGATAGATAACACAAGAGAAATCTAGACACTGAAGTTGGTAACAGCGTTTACATGATCTGTTTTTTTGTTTTTTTGTTTTTTTGTTTTTTTGGTTTTTTCGAAACAGGGTTTCTCTGTGGCTTTGGAGGCTGTCCTGGAACTCGCTTGGTAGTCCAGGCTGGTCTCGAACTCACAGAGATCCGCCTGCCTCTGCCTCCCAAGTGCTGGGATTAAAGGCATGCGCCACCAACGCCCGGCTACATTATCTATTTTTATGTTGTCTGAATATATGTATGTGCACCAGTCAGAAGAGGGCTTCAGATCCCCTGAAACTAGAGTAATACATGGCTGTGAGCCACCATGCGTGAGCCAGGAATCAAACCCATGTCCTCTAAAGCCACGAGTGCTGTTAGCCAGTGAGCCATTTCCCCAGCCCCACAATGACTTTTACACAAAATCAAAAAAGTCACTGATAAGATGTCAATCAAATAAAAATCTCTACTCTGTGAAAGGCACTGTCGAAAGAAAAAGACACATCAGACTGGGAGAACATACTCACAAAAGAGCTGAAAAAGGGCTGCTATCCAAAATAAGAAAGAATGTTTATTTCAGGAAACTTAATGCAACCTTGTAAATTGTATACACCTATGTATGTAAATAAAATAATCCAGTTAAACTAAAAAAATAAACCTCTCTACTGACCTGTGGGGGGGGGAAGAATGTTTAAACAGCAATAACAACGAACACACTTTAAAAATGGGCAAAGTCAGGGCATGGTGGCTTATGTCGTTAATACCAACACTCAGGGCCAGGTTCTGTGTGCTTGAAGCCAGTCTAGCCTACATAGATAATTACATGAGACCCTGTCCCCAAAACAAAAAACAGTAGCCTGAGGAAAGACCTCCTCAGATTGCACATGATGGAGAGCCCCAATTCCCACAAGCTGTCACCTGAGCTGTGGGTCATGTACACATATTAACTAAATGTGAGAATGGGCAAAAAATGAGCATAGGTTCCTATCATGTCTCAGAAAAAATTAAAGTAATTCCACTCCACCTGATTAAAACAGCCAAAAGTGCAATCTGTCATTTTTGGCAGGAATACAGAGCAGTACAGTCACTTTGGAAAACACTTTGGCGGCTGAAGCTTCAGGGCTGAAGAAGCTTAAACTTGGCTAACAAATTAAGAGCCTGGGTTTCAATGTTAGGACTATAAAAAAGTTATTGAGCTGCAGTAGATGAACAAGTGTGTAGGTAATTGCCACACAGTATAAACAAAACAAAAGTACAGACAGTTTCTTCACAAAATATAAAAACGGAAATATCTACTTATCACATGATGAAAACTTGTAATAAAAAGTAGGGGAGAACGTTTAAAGAAGCAGTCATTCATGCGTTTGTAAGAAATATAACAGTGAAGGGACTTCTGAAGGGAATCCCTGGGAAGGGAGTTGGGGATTTAGCACGCCGGTAAAGCACGAGATCTATGCCGAGAGATAAAAAGGTCCCACCGAGGCCCCGATTACACTTCAGTACTTGTGCACATGGAGGCTGACGTTCACCGCCAGCGTCTTACTCTCCTGTGGTGGGTGCTGACCTCAGGCCCTCATGTGTACACAAGCACCTCACCCGCTGGGACATCGCCCAGCCCCTGAGCACCGACCTGGTACGTCCAGAAGGCCAGCGCCCGGGAGCTGATGTCCAGTACGACCTCTGGCCGGAGCCCCGCCAGTACCATAGCTTTGTACTCCTCTGACGGGCTGAGCTCTGTACGGACAATATCTAGCTTTCCAGAAAGGGTGCTGTTGCAGGCAGGGCAGATAGCTGGTGAGCGACTGAACTCACCACTGCCGTGCTGATCACAGAAAATGTGAGAGCAGGCAGTAACCCAAGCGTAGCCGGAGAGCTTGAGGCGACATTTCCGGTAGTTGCAGAGCAGCATGTCTTCATACAAAGACATGGTAACCGTCTCCAGCAAAAGGATCCTAGCAAGGGACAAATGTAAAGATAAGCAAGCCAAAGTGTAATGAATGTGGAATTATTTATTTATTTATCAAAATTACATTGATTTCAGCCTCAAATAATGTGGTCTTTCACTATAAAAAGCTGTGAGTTAAGCTATACATACAGACAGTCCCAGCTCTTACCGATGTCAAGAACGCTGTGAACGTGGCAATTGTTTAGAAACATCACAAAGAAATGAAAACTGCCCATTTTCCAACACCAGAACACAAAGCATTCTATTAAGACCAGGCATGGTGGTGGTCATGAAAGCCTTTAATACAGAATTTGAGAGGTAGATCTTTTAAGTTCAAGGTCAGCCTGATCTACATAGTGAGTTTCAGGACAGTCAGGGCTAGTATGTCTCATACGTGGCAAACATGGGGCTGCACATAACTGCAGTGACACTCAAGTTTTTTAACACGTCTTGGTTTCTCACATTCCTTAACTGAACTGCCTTGATTTTCAAAGACTAACTAGCTGCATGATAAAATTAGGTATGAACTATGCTAACTCATCGATGTTGAAGCTTGAAAAATCTACATTAAAATGTTTGTTTAAATTTTTTGTTCGTTTGCTTGTTTGTTTTTCGAGACAGGGTTTCTCTGTATTGCTTTGGAGCCTGTCCTGAAACTGGCCCTGTAGACCAGATTGACCTGGAACTCACAGAGATCCATCCACCTGCCTCTGCCTCTTGAGTGCTGGGATGTTTAAGGTCTAGAAGTTTCTTTTCAGTAGTGTCCACCACAGAAAGCAATAGCATTAACAGTCATCTATCGACTAATAGTGGTGAGTCAATTATACACCAAGGAAGAGTGAGCACATTCAACATACAATCTAAAAATGTTCCCTAACTGTTATGGGCCACCTCTGTAATCCCAGTACTAGGAGGCTGAGGTAGATCTTTCCTTGTTTGAGACCAGCCTGAGCTACACAGCAAAAATCCTGTCTCAAAAAACCAAAACATATCCCCTGTGCTCTGCTGGGATGACTCGCCCAGCCTTGCTGCAGGAGGAGGGGCTTGGTCCTGCCTGGGCTTGATGTGCCAGGCTTTGTTGAGGCCCATAGGAGCCCTGCCCCTCTCTGAATGGAGGAAGAGTAGGGGGTAGAGCTGGACAGGAGTGGGGAGCAGAGGGAACAGGAAGAGAGGGGGGAGGAAGGAAGGAAGGAAGAAAGGAAGGGAGGGAAGGAGGGAAAGAAGGAAGGAAGGGAAGGGGGGAGGAAGGGAGGGAGGGAGGAAGGAGGAAAGCAGGGAAGGAAGGAAGGAAGGAAGGAAGGAAAGAGGGAAGGAAGGGAAGGGAAGGGGGGAGGAAGGGAGGGAGGGAGGAAGGAGGAAAGCAGGGAAGGAAGGAAGGAAGGAAGGAAGGAAGGAAGGAAGGAAGGAAGGAAGGGAAGGAGGGAGGAAGGGAGGGAGGAAGGAAGGAAGGAGGAAAACAGGGAAGGAAGGAAGGAAGGAAGGGAGGGAGGGAGGGAGGGAGGGAGGGAGGGAGGGAGGGCGAGCCAGGCGTTGGTGGCACACGCCTTATAATCCCAGCACTCAGGAGGCAGAAGCAGGTGGAGCTCTGTGAGTTCGAGGCCAGCAACCCTGTCTCAAAAAAGAACCAAAAATAAAAATAATAAAACCATAAGTGTTCCAGTAACAGGGATCCCCGGGTAGGCTGACACCTTCGTCTCCAATGTCACACCTGAACGACCTGAGACGCAGCCGCTAGAAGAGAGCAGTCAGCCCTGGATTCGGTGGCCCTGAGGCCACTGTGGGCTACAACGATGCGGTCCTCCAGAGAACACACAGGCGCCCCTTGCTGAGTTCCCAGACACAGCTCGCCCGGCGGCCGGCGGCCAATTTTTCTCCCCACCCCGGCGTTAATGCGCCCGTCCTCGCTGGAGCGGAAGGGGCGCAGCCAGCCCCACGACGGCCGAGTTCCTCCAGAACGAGACCCACGCGGCTTCGGCCTGGCGTCTCTCAGGGAAAACGACGGGAAGGAGTACCTGCAAGCAAGGGAAGCTCCAGGCGCCGGCCTTCCACGAAGCGGGACACGCAGCAGGCGCGTGGCCGAGCCGCCAGGGCGCATGCGTGCCGGCCGCCGCAGCGCCTGCTGGGTAGCCCCACGAGGCCGGCTGCCCGCTGGGTGGCGCCGGGCCTGGGGAGCCGAGGCCGTGCTCGCCCCTCCCGCCGCTGCGGGTCAGTGTGCATTGAGAGCAATGACTACGTCTGGATTACAAGTGTTCCACGGCGTGCTTAGAGGAGAGCGGCCGAGCACCGGCGGTGGCGGCACGCGCCATTAGTCCCCAGCGCTCGGGAGGTAGAAGCAGGCGGACCTCGGAGCTCGAGGCCAGCCCGGTCTATTGTGCGAGAAACCTTGTCAAAATAAAATAAAATGAAATAAAAAGTCAAAAAAAAAAAAAGAGTTAGAAGTGCCGTACTTGCTTGTGGGATTTGTCTTTAGCCAGGTGTGGCGATGCATTTCTCTAATCCCAGCACCGGAGAGAAAGACTGAGCATCGAGTTCCAGGCCAGCCAAGACCACATAGTGAGTGTAGGGAAAAGGGACCAGCCAAAGAAACACACCCTGAGCAGAGCCAAAGAAACACACTTTTTTTTTTTTTTTTTTTTTTTTTTTGGTTTTTCGAGACAGGGTTTCTCTGTGGCTTTGGAGGCTGTCCTAGAACTCACTCTGTAGACCAGGCTGGCCTCGAACTCACAGAGATCCGCCTGCCTCTGCCTCCCGAGTGCTGGGATTAAAGGCGTGCGCCACCAACGCCCAGCTAAGAAACACACTTTGGCCCTGCAACCAGAACCAAAGAAATGTACCCTGACCCTGAAACCAGTGCCAAAGGAACACACTTTGTCCCTGGAATCAGAGTCAGTGAAAGAAATGTACCCTGGCCCTAAAACTGGAGCCAAAAGGCTAAAAAGGACCAGAGAAAGAAACACACTTTGGCCCTGAAACCAGAGCCAAATCTGACCTTAATCCTGTTCAGAAAAGTAACCAATCCTCGAGGAGAGCTCTAGCCAATCTGAGCTCAGCACTGAAAACAGACCAATCCCTACCCTGGAAAAACTTCCCCACCCCCAAGAATCCCTATATTGTTGGGGAAGTCCTGTTATTTGCCTGTGCATTTGTCAATACAGTACTGTCTGGCCAATAGAAAACCTAGATAGGAGGGACTAGGAGTCAAGGAGGATTCTGGGAAGGGGAAACACAAGAGAGTCAACATGTGACACAATGGGGGTAGGACGCAGGGAACTATTCTCCGGTAAGAAACATACTTAGATTAACAATTATGGGGTAATTACTTAAGGCAGAGCTAGTCAGTAAGAGACAAACAAGGCCAACAGCTTCATAATTAATATAGCCTCCTGTGTGTTTATTTGGGACTCATGCGGATCTAGAACCAGGCTGGCGCGGCAGAGCCCAGGCGACTGGCGGAGGATAAACCAAAGCGGCTAGCAAAAGAAAAAGCTTCTCTTAACACTATATAAACCTTGTGTATGTTCAGCTTGGCTGGTCCAGCTGCCTTCCTAAGTGCCCTACTTACTTGTGGGATTTATCTTTAGCCAGGCGTGGCGACGCATTTCTCTAATTCCAGCACTGGAGACAAAGACTGAGCATCGAGTTTCAGGCCAGCCAAGACCACATAGTGAGACCCTTTCTCAAATTCCTACTCATATATATATATATATATATATATATATATATATATATCTTTAATACCTGTGTGCCGCATATGCCCTTGTAGTCAGAAGAGTGTGTCGGGTGCCCTGGAGCTGGAGTTACTGACAGTTGCCTCGTCGATGCTGGAAGACCGTGCCCTCTAGGTCGGCAACTATTGCTGAGGCACCCCTCCAGTTCCCAAGAGTCAGAACTGAGATAATCCTTGCTGGTAGTACTCAAGTAGTTAAGTGGATTACTTTGTCCGTTTCCAAGATGTGTGTAAGATTTATATGGGTGTCGTCTGCACGCACATCTGCACACCAGCAGAGGGCATAGAATCCCGTGGAACTAGTGAGTGACCCACCAAGTGGTGCTGGGAATTGAACTCAGGACCTCCGGAAGAGCAGCAGCCTGCACTCCTAACTGCTGAGCCAGCTCCTAAATACTGCTGTCACTTTGCCTTCAGGGGTTACCTGTATAGAGCAACTGTGGTTTTCCTGCTTGTCAATGCTTTTTTTCTAACCTAAAATTAAACGTAAGCTGGGAAGAAGGCTAGAAGGCCCCAGCACTCGGGAGGCAGAGGCAGGCGGGTCTCTGTGAGTTCGAGGCCAGCCTGGTCTACAAAGCCAGTTCCAGTACAGCCTCCAAAGCTACACAGAGAGACTCAATGTGAAGAACAACAAATAAAAAAAAAAGGTAGTGTGCAAAGCTCAATGCCATTCTCTTGCAGCCACCTCAGGAGAGATGACCCTGTTATGAACTAATTATATCTGCATAGTGGACACCAACCAATGGACTTTCCCAATATCCAATATTTCCCTTTTGTTTTTGAGAAAAAAAAAAAACTGATGTGTGTGTATTTTGCCTGCATGATTTGTCTGTGTGAGGTTGCCAGGTCCCCATAGGTGCTAGGAAGTGAACTCAGGTTGTTTGGGAGAGCAACCAGTGCTCTTCACTGCTGAGCCCCAGGCTTCCTGCTTCCTAAGTTGCCTTGACCTCACTGTGTAGCGAAGGGTGACCTGGAACTTCTGAACTTCTACTAAATGCTGGGATCAGGGGAGTGTGTGCCGCAGATATCAAACCTGGTTTTCACTCATGTTAGGCAAACAACTAAGCTACAGCCATTAAACCTTATCCCTTCAATTAATTTAACAGCTCTAACAGTTTTTCCCCTAGCAACTTAATCCTACCAGTACAAGTTAATCAGGGGAAAGAGGAAATGTAAGGATGAGTAAATGTTAAGTTTGTAGGACAAAATAAAAGACGAGCGTTCAGGCAGCCTCAAACTACAACAGGCTTTATTCAAAGACAAAGATATAACTAGTTCCGGCACAGGATCCAGTCAATGACCAGAATGACACATGCTCGAAAATGGGTTTCTGTAGCCAATGACAAAGAAAGAAGCCAAACTGTTTTCCTTAGACAAGCTGGTTTTGAAATTGCAAATCTGTAATCTTATCCACTAGGTGTCTGAGGTTGAGTCAGCTGCTTTATTTCTGCTTCCTGGATCTGCTTAGGGCCTTAGCTTAAGGGGGTCATGGGTAAACCTACCATGTTGAAGGTAACTGAGCCTTTTGAGGACTAGTTTTAACTGTCCCAAACACAGATCACAAAGTACAATCTCCTTGGGAGGCAGAGGCAGGCAAATCTCTGTGAGTTCAAGGCCAGCCTGGTCTACAAAGTGAGCTCCAGAACAGCCTCCAAAACTATTGAGAAACCCTGTCTCGAAAAACCAAAGTACAATCTCATTTGAATTTCAGAGTAAAAACACTCAATTTCAACACTTAACTTCCATGTTACTCTTGCAAAGTCTTTTAGCCAAGTAATACATACGTTGCCTTTATTCCAATAGGCATATACTAAAGCATACCAATTCACATCGGCTCTAGGCTTTTATAATTTAAAAAACTGATCTAGATTAAGCCTCTGTGCAAGTCTCCCTGACTAAACATCAAAAATCCCCATAGAATACCCAGCTGTGTTAACATTAATTTCTCAAGTAAACTATATGCTTCCCGTGACATAAAATGAGGATTGACTGCTATAGACAGCAATACAGCAACGAGAGTTTACTTTGTGTTCTTGTTCAGAAAGACCACCAGGAAGCAAAACCCTCTTGGGTTTTATTAAGCTGGTGCACTGGGGTTCAGCAGCCTTGGGAGTGAACCCCACAAGAAATCACAGCAAGTTTTTAAAGCCTGAAACCGCAAACAGGGTGGTGGGGGTACAAGGGGAATTTGGAAATTGGTGCCAGACCTTCATGAATCTCGTTTGTACACTTATGGCTGTCTGGCTCGTTATCTGTCTCAGGCAACTGTCTGTGCCCTGGCTGAACTTTGTGACTGGCCTGGAACCTTGAGGTCTGGGGAATTATTTTCAAGTCCTTGAGGACCACCAGGGAAAGATGTTTAAGTGGAGCTGCTCACGTCCAAGGACGGGACAGCTTAGTAATTTTCCAACTATTGGGGGGCTAACTGTTGGGGCTCTTCAGTTCATCTAATTGCAAGTTGATTATGACACTATTCTGCTGAGTCAACTTTCATGTCCTCACACTAAAGATTTTAAACTGCTTTGAAATGTATTAACTGGACTGGGTGGGGCATTGTGGGGTACAGAGGCAGGGAGATCTGAGTTTCAGGACAACCAGGCTTGTTAGAGAAACTGTGTCTTTGGAAAAGGAGGGATGGATTAGGACAGAGAGAAGGTTGCAGCTGGGTTTGATTTCCAGCACCCGCATGGCAGCTCACAACTGCCTGTTAACTCCAGTTTAGTTCTACGGACTCTTATGCCCCCTCTTCTGACCTCAAACAGGAATGGTGGACATACACTCAAGCGAAAACACTGAACTCATATAAATTAAATTTAAACAAATGTATTAATCACTTGGGAAAACAACAAGCCATTTAAAATCTAAACATGAGTGTTTCAGTAACTCTAAAGATCAACCACCTCCTGTCCTAAAATTTTCTTGGTCAAGTTCAGAAAGCACTAGGGGGACAGGCTGCCTATCCTCATGAAGCCCTGAGAAGGCAAACAGTATGATGGACTGCTTGGGCTCTCTGTGAGGAGCAGAATTTACCTGCAACCACATTATGAAGCATTAGAACATAAGATGCTCTGATAAAACTGGGATCAGACAAACAGAAAAGACCATTGGCTTAAATGCTTACAAAATGATGACCAACAAATTAGTGCCTAACCAAGATCAATCCACTAAAGTATTACTCGATTATATACTCACTGAATACTGTGCCTATTTTTAGAACTAAGTCAGGCTTCGGAGCCAATGGTAGTATAAATAGGCCACCTGGCAGATACAGAATTTAACTTTATTATGTTTGTCCCATCCCATCAATCCACTCTCTCCAGTTTATGTTCAGGAACAGCACAGGCCTCCATGGATAACAGTATGAGGAATAGGGTCTCAAAAGCCAGCAAAAGAATCAGACATCTGCTCCCAAACTGTCTCATGTGTAGAGGGCCTAGGTCAGTCCCAAGCAGACTCCCTGGTTGTTGGTTCAGACTGTGAGCTCCTATGAGTCCGGTTAGACAATTCTGTGGGTGTTCTTGATGTCCTTGACCCCCTGGGCTCCCATAATCTTCTCTCCCGTTCTTCAGCAGGATTTCCCAAACTCAGTGGGTCTTGGCGGCTGTTTCCATGAGTTGTTGGAGGAAGCCTCTCTGATGACAGTTGGGTCTAGGCACCAATCTATAAGCATAGATAGCAGAATATCATTACTGGTTACATTGGTTGGCCACCCCTACAACCTGTGTCACCCTATCCCCAGCACCATCTCACAGGCAGAAGAGACTGTAGGTCAAAGGTTAGATAGCTGGGTTGGTGTCCTAATCCCTCCACTGGTAGCCTTGCTTAGCCCTAGGAGGTGGCCAGTTCAGGCTACAGCTAGTCATCCTTTTAGATTTCTGGCAGTTTCCCTTGTACTTAGGTTTCTTTCTGACCCTGACATGTCTCCCCCACTTTCCCAGTGGGCTCTTTGAATACTCTCCCTCCCCTCCCCCACCTTATCTCCCATGTCTCTATCCCAACTCACTCCAGTCCACCTACAAAAATCTAGATCCAAATGTCCCCAGTGAGACCTCCTTGTTACTTAGCGTAAGTCTGTGAATTATAGCTTAATTATCCTTTACAGCTAATATCCACCTGTCTTATACTATTATTCTCATCTACATGAGGAAACTTAACAAGGTTATATAACTTGTTAAGTGATAGAACAACCTTAAACCCAGTCCAACTAGAATAGAAGCCTACTGTGTTTACTAAATATAACCACTATACTATTATTTTGACTTTGACTATTTGAAAACTAAAATTCAAGCAGCTGATCAAATTACAGAGCAGATTTTATGTCAAAATCTGAGCCTCAAGCCTTACCATAAAAGGATGCAGACATTTACTGTTTATTGTACAACCATGACTTACTGCATCAAAGTTCAGGCCAGAAATGTCGTTGGTATCAATCTGGTTCTCTCCTGAACACTATGTGTGTACTTCTTGAATTCCATCCTTGGTTTCTGGGGGGAAAGAAAAGGGAGGTGGTGAGTAAATTGCTCCTTAGTGATTTCTCATGCAAATCTGTGTAGAAAAGTGTCAAGTAAGGAATATGGGCCTTGCCCTGTTTGTAGTGCAAACACATCTAATAAATACAAATGTATAAAACTGCATAGTATTTAACAAGTAATCATAGAAGTGATGAGTTTAAGACTGTCTGAAGAGCACTGACTCTTCCAAAGAGCCCAAGTTCAAGTCCCAGAACCCACATGGTGGCTCACACCTGTCAACTCCGTATGTGCTTGGTACACAGGCATACAGGACGGCAAAAACGCCAATATACATGGAATATAAAACTTTTAAACTGTCAAACTCAGTAGCTGGAATTATACCAGCTATGAGTACTTTTTTTGTAGTGCTTAATTAAGTTAGTAAGGATCAACTAGATTTCTCACATTATTAAAGATCAAAACACAAAATGTTGATACTATCAAATTCTTACGTTATGAATTCCCCAGGAGGAAAGGGCTAAAGCCAAGTAAGAAACATTTAGCAAGCTGAATTCATTTAAGTGTTTGCCCTAACTTTAGTCTGCTCAGCACATGTATATAATCAGTGTGATCAGCTGAAACACGGACTTGACATGTACTTCATCATGGCAAACTGTCAATGTCTGAGGAAGGGCAAACTAACCCAGCCTCTAACAACACTGCATTCCTTAACCTTCCCTGGCAAAGGCGATTATAATACTTACCTCTCATCAACTGAATCCAGCTTTAATCGAGGAATCCAAATCCAAACATCAGAACGGCTTAGCACCATCTCTGGAAAATAAACAAAGGTCATACATTACACTTAACAAGTCACACCAACATGCTCCAAATACCATGAGTGAGGAAAATTATGGTGACTGTTCGTTTTCCGTCTGACTATTCAGTACAACTGGCAGCTTCTGGCACACACCTGCCACCCAAGCAAGGAGATGGAATATTTAAACCAGGTCAGTCAGCTCGAGCTGCAAAGGCCCTACAAAATATAAATCTGTAAACAAAACCCTAAGTCAATATCAAATTGGGAGGACACAAACAGACATTTAAAAATTAAAATGGGCTTTAATCCCAGCACTCAGGAGGCAGAGGCAGGCGGATCTCTGTGAGTTCGAGGCCAGCCTGGTCTACAAAGTGAGTTCCAGGACAGTCTCCAAAGCTACAGAGAAACCCTGTCTCGATAAAACCAAAAAAAAATTTTTAATGGGCTGGAGAGATGGCTCAGAGGTTAAGAGCACTGACTGCACTTCCAGAGGTCCTGAGTTCAATTCCCAGCAACCACATGGTGGCTCACAACCACCAGGTGGTAGTAGTGAACACCTCTAATCCCAGCACGTGAGGGGTTAGCGAGGGGGCAGAAACAGGCGGATCTGAGTTCAAGGCCAGCCTGGTCTACAGGTCAAGTGTCAGGCTCCAATGCTCAGGCTCAAGAGAAACCCTCTGGGGGGGGGGGTCGGGGAACCACCAAAGTTAAGATGGAGCCAGAGACACCTAAGTTAGGAGCCCCTGCTGCCCTTCCAAAAGACCTGAGTTCTGCTCTCAGTGCTCACACCAAGCAGTTCCCAGCAGTCTACTCCAGCTCTAGCGAGTCCAACACTCTCCTGACAGCACACTCATGGGCACCCACATGTTCACAATAGTAAAGGTAAGTATTTTCTAATTTAGATAAAAATCACACTAAGTCTGACCAGTCTTTGAAAGTGAAACAGCATGGAAAGTCAATTCATAAGGTTTTAGTAAAGAAAAAAAGTAATCCAAAATAGTTCTCAAACTGTATTTTAATTTCACTTGAGCCAATACTGATTGAATTTAACTTCCCCAGACATAGAAAAAGCATTGAGCCCCTGTTGGCCACAAGATGGCAGTATAAGGCTTCAATTAAAATAAAGTTGATTTACCACAAATAACATCAATGCTTTTCTATTCTTCACCTAATGAGCTAGACATTTTCTACATTGTATGCAATTAACATTAAACTCACTGTTAGGCTAGAGGTAAGCAACAAAAAAGATTAAACTCACTGTTAGGCTACAGGTAAGCAACAAAAAAGTACTAGGGTGCAGAGCAAAGAAAAAAGGAGCAACTCTCCAGGCATGTCTCAGTGCAACCCAGCCAAGGGGAGGTTTGTAGATTCCAGACCAGTTTGACCCAGTAAGACCAAAAAAAAATTCTGCACATGAAGGTTTGTATGTCTTAGGTAGGTATTAAAATTGCACATGTATATAGCCGGGTGGTGATGCACCCTTTTAATCCCAGCACTTGGAAGGCAGACAGGTGGATCTGAGTTCAAGGCCAGCCTGGTTTACAGACCAAGTCCCAGGACAGGCTCCAAAGCTACAGAGAAACCAAACCCCATCTTGAAACACCAGGCAAATTAAAAAGCATGTGTAAAACCACTGCATGACTCAAACAGGGGTGGAATCTGGAGGCAGGAAGACCATGGAGGTATGCGGCTTACTGACTTGCTTCCCCCCAGCCTTTCTTTTTTTACTTATTATATATATAGCATTCAGTCTGCATGTACACCCGCAGGCCAGAAGAGGGCACCAGATCTCGTTACAGATGGTTGTGAGCCACCGCGTGGGTGCTAGTATTTGAGCTCAGAACCTCTGGAAGATCGGCTAGTGCTCTTAACCTGAGCCATCTCTCCAGTCGCTCAGCCTGCTTTCTTATAGAACCCAGGACCCCCACCACCTACCATGGGCTGAGCCCTCCTCCACTGATCACTAATTGAGAAAATACCTTACAGCAGAATCTCATGGAGGCATTTCCTCAACTGAGACTCCTTCCTGTCTGATAACTCTGGCTTATGTCAAGTTGACACACAAAACCAACCAGTACAGGTATGAACCTGTAATACCAGCCTGAGGTCAGAAGTTCAGCATGTTTCAAACAAGCTTGGACAATTTAACAAGATCCTGCTTCTAAACAAATTTTCATATACAGGGCTAGAGTTACTGCTCGGTCAGTACCCGGCACCATGAGGAGGGGCAGAGGGAAACAGCATACATGCACAATGCGGAAATTCTGGGTCAAAATGAGTACCTGCCTTTACAGTCCCATCAGCCTTTAAGCCTTCCTGTTGAGAATGTCCAAATCCAAGGCCACTTTACAGATATTCTGGAGTTTCCACAGGACATTTGCGCTGGCACACAGAGGGCTACAGCTCTTTCCTGGACACATTTCATCTTCAACCTGAAACCCGAGAACAGGAGAACGTAAACGCCGAGGTGATGAGGCACAGGCGCCGCCAAGCTCCATTCCCTACTCTCTCTCAGCTGTTGAAAACAAGCACTGGGAGGGCATGTGACCAGCCATGCTCATCACTGGTCCGTCCGCCCAGGCCCATGATGGCACGACGAACAGTACCCAAAAGCTGTGGCTCAAAACAGCAGGGAGAAATTAACTAGAAAACCAGAATGCAGGAGGCAGCAAAATTTTCCCTGCTGTTTTAGAGAAATGGCAAAGTAAGCTTGATGGTTAAGATAATTAATTATTCATTCCCCAGCTTTATTAGGGCATAAACGACAAATACAAACTGCAGTCTAATGGGCAGTGTTTTGATAAGAGGCTTCCATTACCGCTTATCCTTTCTGTGGAGGAAGATGTGGTGAGCACACTTAATATCTGACGTTAACAATTTGAGTACAGACATGCAGAACTCCCTCCCCCACTGTTTCAAAGGTAAGTAGTTCAACTTCTTCGATTCTGCACATTAACACCCCCCTCATTGTTTCAAGTAGTACACAACTTAATCTGTAAATTAAAACTGTGGGTCTATTTTAGTCATTGTGAATGATAGTCAATCAACAATGGAATAATTTTCTATGTTTGTACATTCCATATTATAATGTATTTTCGTGGTTGTGTTTTCCTCTTTAGAAAATGGCAAACTCACTGGAGAGCCAATGGTTTATGGAATTTTTTGTTTACAAGTCAAGCTTTTCGTGAACTTCTAATTCTCTCAATTCACATCTGACATCGTGCCATTGTGGAGACAACCCATGCTAGACAAGCCTTCTAGAAGCTGAACTATGTCCCCTGCCCAGATAGTAGGTCCTGAAGGCAGACAAGACTACATTTTAATTATTATTTGCCGCAACCTTGAACAGAAATACAAGCTATGACAAAGCTACCTCACACTAAGAACGTCTTTGAAGGTAATAAATATACATTATACCACAGCAGCTGTCATGGAGTTAAATGTTTGATGTTTCTATCACTTGTGGAAAACCAGTCAACCCACTAGTAACTAAAAATACTCTCCATGAAAAAAAAATCCATTGTTCACAGGAACTCAGAAAGGTCATTCATAACGTCCCTCTAGCTCCAAGAGATTGTCTTTTAGGATTAAATGACCCAAATTTGCTTCCCCATGTCTGTTATTTCCCAGAGCTGGGGTGACAGGCACATGGATCTGAGCTTAAGCTTGGTCCTCTTGCCCTGCTTTCTAACCCTCACGTTCTCCCTTCCACTGGATCCCCTGGAGCTGAAGTTACTGACAGTTTTAAGATACTGTATCAGTGCTGGGAACTGAAAGTCACGTGCTCTCATCTGTTCAGTCATCTCCCCAGGCCTCAGACAACTGGAATGCTTTTACACTACGAATATACTAAAGCCCAACCAACTCTAGTGCCGCACATGCCAACTGACTTATCTACAGTTACTCATTTGGGGGAAGACAGTAAGACCATAAGCTATTAAGTAACTACCAAGAAAAACTAACGAATTATGGCACGAGCATATATTAGAATGTAACAACATATGTGGATGTCCTTTACTAATATGGAGAAGAGTACAGGGTGGTTAGTTATGCGCAGAAAGAGGGGTACACACTTAACATTGTGCACCTCACATTCTAAGACGCACAAGTCCTAGGAAGAGGCAAGAAACACCACTGTGCACTCTGAACCTATTCAGTCCCCAGCACTCATCACCAGTAACTACAGTTCAAGGGATCTAATGCCCTCTCCTTGCCTCTGAGGCAGTAGGCACACATACATGCATGTGTCATGCATGTAATCATGGATTTAAAGACAAATGAAGTCTAAAGACATCGGAGTCATCAGTGCCTATCAGTACATTAGCTACGTTAGGATTCCACTTTCTCACATTTTCTGCCTATTAACAATAACCCATGGGCCAGGTGAGGCCACACCCCTTTGATCCCAGCACCCAGTTAACAGTTATAGTTGAGGCAACCCTGGTCTACATAGCAAGTTTCAGGACAGTAAGAGCCACCTGAGACCCTGTCTCAAAATTTAAAACTAAGCAAGGCTACAAAGATGGATCAGAAGTTTAAACCTCTTTCAAAGGACCCGAGTTCAATTCCCAGCACCCATGCAGGGCAGCTCACTGCAGTAGGTAACTTCAGTTCCGGGAACTAAAACCCCCCTCAGGCTGGGAGAAGACCTGCGTATTCACTGTCTGCAAATACAGTCCGTACACAAATTAAAACAAATCCTTAAAAAAGCATAGCCGCTGGGCAGTGCTGCACGTGTTTAATCCCAGCACGCGGGAGGAGGAAGGCAGGCGGGTCATAAAGAGTTCGAACTAGCTATCAAAACAAACAAAAAGAGAGTCTGGCAAAAAAAAAAATCACTCGAGCGAGTTCCAGGACAGGCTCCAATACAATACAGAGAAACCCTGTCTCGAAAAAAAAAAAATCACTCGCGGGGTCCCTAGGGAAAATTAAATAACTCCTCATGAGAAAAATATCCTCAATATGTATTGTAAACCCGCATGCTACCTTTACAAGGTAACATTTACTATACACCAACTAGGGCTAGACTTTGTTCGCTCTTCAAAAAGGATGCCCGGAATGGCTCACACTATCTCCCCATGTCACCTGAGCAGTAGCGTGCACTAAGTTGAGATCCCCTGGTTCTTCTCAAAGTGCCTAACGCTCTTTACACCGTGAGCCCTCATAGGGCTAACGAAATCAATCACCTGTTCTCGTAGTTTGCCATCTAGTCTCATACATACTCTGAAATCCGCCAAGGTCGTGGCTTCCACGGACATTCATCAGAAAACTAAAACACCTGAACTCACCTTCCCGGGATCTCCCGAGCGGATTGGCAAAACGGCGCCGGGGTAATAACGGTGCCTACCTAGCAAGCAAAAAACGAAGCCGAGATTTCCCGAGGATCAGGCGCTCTCTGCACACGGCAAGATCTATTTCTGGGCCACCAGGTCTCGGGACGCGGGGCTGCCAAGGCCACGTGGAGACAAGCCAGGTAGCCCACCTTGCTACCAGCCCCTAACCTCCCAAAACAGAAATGAATCCCCTTTGAACTCACAGACTTCAGCTCCGACCTGAAATAAAAGCCTGGCCCCTGGACAGACCGCTCAAAAGAATGAGAACCTGAAAGCCAGAGACCCAAACTGTTTGCGCACTCACCAGCCCACCAGAAACGAGAGGTAGAGAAGGAAGACCGAGGGGAAGCGACCTAAGTAATGTGCCTCCGAGTTTGATTGGCTGAGTTCAAGGAGCCTCCCCTCCTCCTTGACCTTAAAGGGCGCAGCCGGGCTGCGACTCAACTATCTGTTTTAAGATTGAACACCACCCAAAAAAAAAAAAAAAAAAAAAAAAAAAAAAAAAAAGAGCCGGGCATTGGTGATGCACGCCTTTAATCCCAGCACTCAGGAGGCAGAGGCAGGCGGATATCTGTGAGTTTGAGGCCAGCCTGGTCTACCAAGCGGGTGCCAGGACAGCCTCCAAGACAATACAGAGAAACCCTGTCTCGAAAAACCAAAAAAAAAAAAAGATTGAACACCACCAAATTTCTTTCTTGATAAGAGCACAAACACAAGCACACACAGAATAATTGAAGGGATTCAGGCACGTCCTTGGTCCCTTCTATTCCAATTTCCACGCTGAGCTAACCTGCCCTGTGAGACCTCAACACAGTTGACCTATGCAAGGTAATAGGTCACATTATAAACAGTTCAAAACCATCCAAGTTAGAAGTTGCATTCAAGTTAATCTTCAAGCTAACAAAGAATAACTAGCATTTATTAATGGGAAGGTTAGTGTTTATCCTTTAAAGTAAAATTTGAATACTTGTACACATCTAAGCCTCCATTCCCTCGACTTCAAATTGTTGTGGAAAGCCAAGGGGAGGATTAACTGGATCACAGGTTGCCCCTGAAATTAGGTTTGCCCTTGATGCCAGCTTTATTTACAGGCCATTTTATATAGCAACCGGACACTGTCATTCAGACAAAGCAGCAGGCTACAGAATGGGAAAGGATCTTTACCAATTACACATCCACTTGAGGATTAATATCTAAAATACACTAAAAACTAAACATCAAAAAAAATTAAAAGTGGAGTATAGCCGGGCAGTGGTGGCTCATGCCTTTAATCTCAACACTCTGGAGGCAGAAGGAGGCAGATCTCTGTGAGTTCAAGGCCAGTCTGGTCTACGTACAGATCGAGTTCCAGGACAGGTTCCAAAATTACAAAGAAACCCTGGGGGTAGTGGGGGATGGAGTACAGACCTAAACAAAAAATTCTCAAAAGATGAAACAGAGCCAGGTGATGGTGGTGCACGCCTTTAATCCCAGCACTTGGGAGGCAGAAGCAGGAGGATCTCTGTGAGTTCAAGGCCAGCCGGGTCTACAGACTGAGGTCCAGGACAGGTTCCAAGCTACAGAAAAACCCTGTTGGGGGGGGGGACACACAGATGGCTAAAAATCACCTTTTAAAACTGTTCAACATCACTAGTCATCAAGGAAATGCAAATCAAAACTTCTTTAAGATTTTATATTACCCCAGTCAGAATCAGCCAAGATAAATAAAACAAATGACAGCTCATACTGGCAAGGATGTGGGGAAAAGAAAATCTGTTGGTGGTGGTGGCAGAGCAAACTTGTACAGTCTCTATGGAGATCAGTATAGTGTTTCCTCAGGAAGCTAGGAACAGATCTACCTCAAGATCCAGCTATGCCCCTCTTGGGCACAAACCCAAGGGGATGCTTCATCCTGCTACAGAGATACTTGCTCAACATGATCATTGCTTACTTTGTTCATAATAGCCAGGAATTAGAAACAGCCTGGATGTCTTTCAACAGATGAATGGATTGGGGGGACCGGTGACATTATACAGTGGAATATTATTCATCTGTTAAAAATGGAAAAAAGGCCAGGCGTTGGTGGCACACGCTTTAGTCCCAGCACTCGGGAGGCAGGGGCAGGTCGATCTCTGTGAGTTCGAGGCCAGCCTGGTCTACAGAGCAAGTTCCAGGACAGCCTTGAAAACAATCCAGAGAGCCAGGCGTTTGTGGTGCACGCCTTTAATCCCAGCACTCGGGAGGCAGAGGCAGGCGGATCTCTGTGAGTTCGAGGCCAGCCTGGTCTACAGAGCAAGTTCCAGGACAGCCTTGAAAACAATCCAGGGAGCCGGACATTTGTGGCGCACGCCTTTAATCCCAGCACTCGGGAGGCAGAGGCAGGCGGATCTCTGTGAGTTTGAGGCCAGCCTGGTCTACTGAGTGAGAATACAGAGAAACCCTGTCTCGGGGGAAAAAAAAATCCAGAGAAACCCTGTCTCAAAAAATCAAAACCAAAAAAAAATGGAAAAAAGGAAATTACAAGTAAAGTATGGTGGCACATGCTTAGCACATGCCTTTAATCCCAGTACTTGGGAACAAGAGGGAGGTGGAGCCCTGAGTTTCAGGCCTGGTCTGCAGAGAAGTTCTAGGAAAAACCAGGACCACACAGAGAAAGCCTGGAGAGGAAGAGGAGGAGGAGGAAAAATAGTTATGAGATTCACAGGTAAATGGATGGAACTAGGAAAAAAAATCACCCGGAGTGAGGTAACCCAAACCTTAAAAAAAAAATGTAATATGTCTTCTCTTATATGTGGATGGTAGCCTTTGTAGCCCAGGTTGGCCTCAAACTGAGGGATCCACCTGCCTCTTCTTCCCCGTCTCTGCCTCCAGAGTGCTGGGGTTAAAGGCGTACACCACCATCCAGCATGGATGTTAGCGTTTGGAGTTTCAGTAGGCATGCTACAATCCATACAACTACAGAAGTTAGGTCAGAGTAAGGGACTAGGGGGCGGGGATAGAGTATACAGCTGGAGAAGCAAGACAGGAGGATTTAACGGGAAGAGGGATGAGGAGAGGGTAACGAAGGAATACAAGTAACTAAAGGACATATGGAAACGTACTACTGTAGACGCTTCCTAAAACATGTACATGTAGGAAAGAAAGCTAAGTGGAGTTGCCAATCTGTCACAACCAAGAGAAACCTCCAGTGCTAGGAATGGAAACCCCCAAACAACTAAGTCTATTGCCAAGGTACCGCTGCTCTTTGCAAACAGATGGTAAGGCCCTATTGCTAAAAAGAAAAAAAAAGATACAAACCTCATTGAATATGGAGTTGAGCTAGTGCCTAGCTAGAGCCTTCATCCCTACTGACTACTACTTTCAGAGCATTAGAAGGTACTCTACATACTACTCTTACAGTTTGGGGGTCTTGAAATGATACTCTTGATCGGGTCGATTTTCTCTGCCAGTTAAAGAATAGAAAGGCAGTCGGGCGTTGGTGGTGCACACCTTTAATCCCAGCACTCCAGAGGCAGAGGCAGGTGGATCTCTGTGAGTTCGAGGCCAGCCTGGTCTACAAAGTGAGTTCAGGACAAGCTCCTAAACTACACAGAGAAACCCTGTCCTGAAACCCTTGCTCCACCCCGCAAAAAAAAAAAAAAAAAAAAAAGAGACAGTGCCTTCCAATGCACATATGAGGACTGATGCACATATGAGGACTGATGCACATATGAACTCACAGAGACCATGGCTGGATGTACAGGGTCTGCACATGTCCAAGCCACATTGGGTCTCAGGTCTGGACACAAGCTCCCACCTGGAGGCTATCTGCAATTGATGCTCAATTACTTTTCTCTCATGGTGCATTACCAGATTTAAAGGCAGATCCTGTATCCAGAAGTAGATGTCCAACACAAAACAAACTCAGTGGTATTTCTGGAGGGTTCTTTTTCTGTTTCTGTTTGTTTTGGCTTGTATTGCTTTGTTTAGCCCCTTTTCCCTTTACATTTTGCTTGTATATTTATGGTTTGCAGTTTCGTGTTTTGGGGGGTTCTTTTTGTGTGCGTGTATATTTCTCTTAATCTTTTCCTCCCTTTATTTATTTTTATTCTTTTGTTTTGTTTCTTTCTGAGAGGTTTTCTCTGTGCATCCCTGGCTGTCCTGGAATTTACTCCGCAGGTCAGGGTAACCTTGAATTCAGATACCGGCATGCCTCTTTCTCCAGAGTGCAGGATTAAAGGCGATCACCACCACACACACTTTTTTTTCTTTAATGAGCTTTGGGGTTTGGGTGTGGCGGTGGCGTGTGTAGATATCACTCGTGATCTTTATTTATCTTTTAATTGTCTGTTTTCTAAATCAAGAGCGAGAAGGCGTGGAGTTTGGCTGTGTGGGTAGGGTGGTGGGGAGAATCTGGGAGGAGATGAGGGATGGGAAGCCATAATCAAACTTATTTTTGAGTATTGGCCATTAATTAATCTGAGGTGTCCGCACATAAGTCAAGCCTAGGCTTCTGACCTTGGTAGGAAAGCCTGGCTTGCTGTGAACCGCAGTCTCTCCCATCTCGAACGCTTCCTGACTCTCAGTGTTCCTCCACCTGCTCCTAGCTCGGTTCTGCTCATTTGCTTGCATGAACCACATCTAGTTTTGCTAAAAGTCATACTCCAGCAACGGGGTCATAATATTGCGGCGGCTAAATTTTAGGTCATGTTGATTTGTGCAGCTTTCAGAGTTGACTTAATTTAAAAATTTAAGCGCTCACTCAAAAGGGCGGGGGAGAGTAGTCTGAATTGGGTTATGAGGTCCGCGAGGTACCTCACCTCAGCCATTGAACTCGCTCTTGGCTGGCCGTGAGTCTGTTCCAAGCTCCGGCGAGGGAGGCATCCGCCCCGACACTCGGGGCCTCTCCTGCCCAGTCTGCCCACGCGTGGAGCCCTGCTCTCTGGGAACTCACCTCCCCGGGGTCGGGGAGGGCCCGGTTAGGGCCGCGGGGGGCCCCAGTCTCAGACCTTCCCAGGGGCCGGGGAGTGACGGGCACTCAGCACGTGGCCCCGCTGATGAGCTTCCTCCGCCCGGCGTGGCCCGGCGGCGGGCGAACTATATAAGCCTCCGCGGAGGAAGCGCTTTCTCGGTTAGGGTGGTTTCCCACAAGCCTCAGCGCACAGCCTCTTTGCATACGCTCCCGCCGCCCCCGGGCTCCTCCCTCTCCGCACAAGAAGCCCGCGCATTTCGACTGCGGATGATGACGTCGGGCCTCGAGCGCCATGGCGCCGCGGCGGCGGAGATCCGGCCGCGGGAGGCGAGGTGAGAGCCGCGTCCGC